ATAGGTAGAGTGATTCTTAAGGAAGGTTTATATGTATACCACATGCATATTGCACCCGTGCGCAATCGGGGCGGGTCGCTAGTTTTATATATATACGTTTGTGTTGACGTTCCAAAAGTACCAAATTATGGTTTATTTGAAATGAATGCCTTTGAGTTTGAGTTTGAATAGATCTTTTTTATATTTGATGGGCTATGAAATGTCGTCTGGTGGTAAGCCATGACTTATCATGATCATGGCGCATCATGATGCGGCCTACGATTTATTTGTAAGTGTGCTAGTTAAATTTCTTACGTAACTGTTTTTAGAGCTAACTCAACTGGTTTCAAGCTGTGCTAGGGGCTCATATTCATAAACTATATTGCGCGACAACCGAGTCGAGCGTCGCGTGGCCAACAGACAACTGTTTATGTACCTTTTCGAAAACAAATAGACGTATGTAGAACATAAAACCTCTTTCACATTTACTTCCAAAATAAATCTGTACAAATGAGATCCAGCAAGAGATTGATTCATCCGATTTAAACATCACACACAGGATGATCTAAAAGAAATAGCGTCGGCTCTTGGCAATGCGGTCAAAGATCGTGCGTGAATAATAAACGACCCTGTATATGGGTGGAATAATAATGAGATGTGTTTTAGGTATGTGTGTTTATAATTTTTAGTTTCACGATATCTGTCTGTACGTTTTACTATTGAAAATAGGGTAGATGCCTAATTTTTATTTTAATGTTCGTCTGGTAGATTATTTTAAATCATTAGACACGTCTTTTTTATTTTCTTACGACGATATATTGATTTGAAATGTCGCATGACGTCACGTCTATGTACATTTTAAACGTAGAAATGACGTTTTAGCCTCCACTCGTAAACTATGTATGATTCGTTTTATCTAAGTATTCTTTTATTATACGACAAAATAAAAAAATACGTGTCTAATATTTATTAATTACCTAACTGACGGACTTATTACATTTTAAATTTTCATTGTTGTCATCGTACCAATTGTTATGTTTTGTAAACCGTAACATTTATTTTATATTACTACAACTGCTGGTTTATATATAGCTGTTGGTTTCCCAAGTATTAAATAAATAAATAAAAAAAAATATTAAGATTATTATCTAGCCAAGTATTTATTTTCATGTTTTCAATTTCCTGAAGAGTTGGTAATTACTCTTTGTATAAACCTCTACAATATTTCGCTTGGGAATCGAACGTAAGACCCCATGCAGTCGCAATTATTCGCAGCTATTCGCAATTAGCAGCACGCCCAGTCGCAATTATGACCACCCAAGCAACAAGGCCATAAAAAAAATTAAAATCGAAAAAAAAACATTAAAAATAAATACACATAACTACATACAACCTCTATCATTACTCTTTCGCCAGAGATTTCCAATTTCTTTCCCTTTTCTTTTCCATTCCTTCCAATCAGTGGAATTGCGTTTTCCGTTATTTATTTTAATTACCTCACTGATTGCCGATCTTGAATTAAAAAGAGAATTATCGAAGGAATACCAGCTGCTTAACATTCTGTTCGAGGACTGAGAATCGATTAGGATAATGCTGTAACAAGTTTTCAGCAATGCGACAGTTTTACTGTTATGCTTTGTGCTTGTGTGGTATTGTGCAAGAAATGATATGCCGTGCCGTATGGTACAAAGAATGTTTTACGTAAATAGCTTTTTTATTTGACTTTACTTAGGTACATGGTTGTTGAATATTTATTCGTACACACGGCCACACATCAACCTATACAAAACCAGTTTATCCTGGTGTCTGTGTGGTGGTACTTCAATTCTGATTACCTACAATTAATTCAATTTGAAGATTTTTTAATATTCAGGCAAACTATAATAGCTAAACAAATTCAGATGTGGTACCAGATACCAATAATTGAAGGAAAACACTGGATCAGTTTCGAATGACTCCTGGGACTTAAAGTCATGAGCTTGTGCGATAACTGAAAAGTGTCGTGGTAGTCAATTGTCTTTATGCTAGTAGTCAAACGACTGCATCCGCATACCCCACACACACAAACACACACACACACACATGTACTATATTATTTATTTTAATTGTCATGTATAAACATATATAATAGTAAATAAAATAATTACCAAAAAATAATGTAAGCTACAGAATAATTATAGTTTAAAATCTAACATTATGTCGATAATGAAAAACCACAGGTAAAAAACTAGTCGAAACACTTATTAATGATTATGAAACTATATTTTAATTCAAAGCTTTACATAATGTATGATGTATCATATTTACTTTATTGAGTGAAGATAATATTATTCTAGTTTATCCAGACGAAACAAAGCCTTATTTACATAATTATTGCGAACAACGTCGACTTTACTGGGTCAGTGAACTTGTAGAGCAAATAGTTACATGACGTAGGGTTAAGAATCAGCTGATTTTAAAAGAAACTTGAGGTTTCCTCCTGTATTAAAACTTCGTTTATTATAATGTATGTATAGTATTTGTATAATTTCTTTATAGTATTCGATATGAGCCTATGTAGGCTAAAATAATTGGGAATAAACGAATCGAACTGGCAATATTTGTTCTAATAAATAATATTAATAATTACCACACCCCTGAGTCTCTGCAGGGTTTCATCCAAAAATCACGATAATCAGATTAAGATCGTTTTGCTTTTATAGATTTTTTATTTTGACGTTATTGTCATATAGGTAACTTTCGTGAGAAATACTAAATTGATTTTGTTTTTCGGCTTTCTCACGTAACTGTTTCACGGGGAACTCGACTAGTTTCAAACCATTCTAGAAGTTCATAATCATAAGCAACATTCCGCGAAACGCAATATCTTTGTTCGTTTTTTTTTGTAATTGATTAAAGTCAAAGTCAAAAGTCAAAGTCAAAAATCTATTATTACGTCTATTTATCATGTTGAATGTGAATTTGAGCAAGCCTTGTGTCGAATAAATGCTCTTTGTTTTGTTTTCTTTGTACTGCGCTATAAATATAATACACCCTACTATATATAGTAGTCATTGGAGCATATTAATGAACTGATACACAACATTGAATTTACACCTAGTCTAATTAACATTATAATTGAAAATCGTACTTGATCCATCTACACGAGGAATATTAATCAGCTCGTCCATTGGTGGTATACTATTTAGATAATAATTGGATGAAAAATGAATTATTTGTGGTTATCTACAAATCCTACATTTATCGATATTAGTGAATGTTATCATCATCACTATCATGATAATATCACTTCTAATATCAATAATTATTATGTTTTTTGCTTACTTACGTTACTGTTTATCAGCACCGAGAAAATCGCGTCGTGTGTCGAAGAATGCTGCTAATAAATATGACCCTCTAGAATGGCTTGAAACTAGTCGAGTTCTTTGTCAAATACGTAACTCTTTGTGCAAGCCGAAAAGCGTTAAAATTGTTAATACTCTTTACCTGTTTATAAGATGAACAGAGTCATATGATTGGTCTACTATTTAACACCTTTCGTTACCTTCTATCGTCTACAATCTTTTGAGTTCTCTAAGATCGGAAAAAGGGGATCCTCCAACCACGCAGTCGAGGTGTTCATGCTTGGCGGGTTTTCTGCCCAACAGTAGTTTTTTCTTTCACTTGTTTCACTATTCGTGTGTCGTGGAGTAGTATCTAAATGTTTTTTTTTCTTTCTTTACATGTGCGATTGGCACGATTGGCCGCAAAAAGCTTTACATAGAGAGGAGTGGAAGGAGTGTAGGGAGGCCTTTGCCCTGCAGTGGGACGATCATGGCTGAAAATAAATAAATAAATAATAACATGTGCGATGTAGGAATTTGTGACGTCATCCGTTGATTTTGTTTTTCATCGATGCAATGGTCTATGTGCATGAGCTGTCATTTGATATGTGTCGCCACAACCTGTAAAAGTTAACAATCATTAAGAAAGACACCAGGCCTCAAGCAGGAACAGTAATTAAAGTTACAATGGATATTAAACTTCTACTGCAATTAATTAAAACTGAGGTAGACTTTATAATTTGTTGATCAAACTTTATTTGGTCATATTAAAGTTTGCGTTTATTACTTTTTCGATGGCTGGAACTTAATTTACGTTTTATAGTCTAATTTGAGTTATGTTCCACATAATAATTGAGTTTTCTCCAGCCTGTTTTGGCTCGTGTTAAAAACTTGTTAAGGGTTGCCCCGCAATTATATTTTTGGTTAATTTTGAAGCATAAGTTAAGAAAGTTGCGGAATGTTTTTGGGTTAAAGTTACGGTAAAGGTGTCATTCAGGAATCATTGAGGTCCAAGTCAAATAAAGATGTCGCGGAGAACCTAACGGGTTACCGGGGCTCCGGCTCGACGTGCAGGAGAAGGAACGGGGTGGTTTTTAGTCAGTAGGAGTCTGACACTACCTTCCGCCTCAACCAGGCGGGGTACCTAGTCATTCTATGATTTTCCCCCCTTAAAAAAAAGTCAAATAAAGATACTGAATTTTTTGATCTTTGATATTATTCCTAATTTTACTTTTTTTTTAATTGAAACTTTGCCTCACGCTGGTATTTTCTTCTGTGTCGTGGGTGCGTTTGTACATACAAGTTCAAACATGACACCCAGACCCGAAACAACAATCTGTGGATCAGACAAAGAGTTGTTCCGTACAGGAATCGAAACCACGACACGTTGTGCGGCAGCCGGTTGCCCAGCCGTCGCGCCAACCGTGCAGTCGTATTAATTATGGTTTTTGACAACGCATAGAGTTTAATAACAACTAGGCTGCTACTGCGCTATACATTCGACGAAGTCTTTAAAAACATTAACGTTGAATTGGTTTTGGGTACAAAACCAAGAAAAGTCTATTCATCTTAACTGCAATCTACCAATCCTACAACTAGTACATCTTGTGATAAAAAGTTTTAACACGAAGTTAATATCTTCGTTGAAAGAATTACGTCTGCGCGCACTTAGCAAAGCAATTAGCATTGAGATAGTGTTAATTGCACCTCGGACTTCAGTGTTTTAGTAAGAAGTCTTTATCTTTACATTTAAAAACGTTTTGTTTAAAATTGCGATGCTAGTCGCATTTTTCCTCTCATTAGGTCAGTGGGTGAAATTAAAATGTTCGCTAATGTCGGAATACTGAAACGCTACTCAATTTTAAGTCGTGCTTAAGTATAGTTCTTTCTCTACAAATTCTTTGTAAAATGACAGAGATGGCACGATATTTGAGCACGACTTAAAATTGAGTAACGTTTCAGTATTCCGGCATAAGTCATCAATATTAAGGTAAAATATTGGGGGAAAATTTGGGTCGGTATTGGATCGGTAAGAATAGCGATAGACTAACGAGAATGTTCAGAATTTATTTTACAAACACAAAGTGTTAGAATGTGAAGGTTTCATTATGTAACTGGCAAATAGCTAGGAATTTTCTACGTTGGACGCTAATTAATAAATTCGCCTTATTACATAAGACTCATGTCAATAGAAAATCAGATATACCGTAAACGGAACGCTGCCGAAAAACACCAACCATTGATGGTAAAAAGAAAGGTTTATTTTCATAAAAGTAAGGATACCTATACATAACATAACATAACATCACATCTTTTATTCCCAAAGGGGTAGGCAGAGTTGTACATTACGGCACTTAATGCCACTGTACAATGTAACACCCACTTTTCACTATTTATGTTATGAGCCCCATGTAATAGGGGGTGAGCCTATTTCCATATAACGGGCGCAATTCTAGACTCCGTGCTACTACTGAGATTTTTTGAAAAATCCCAGTGATACTTTGCCCCACCTGGGAATAGAACCCAAGACCCCTTGCCCGGCAGTCGCACTTGCGACCATTCGGCCAACGAGGCAGAATTAAACTTTTCTTTTATGTATTAATAGTTGTAATCAACTGCTCAAGGCTGATGTTGCATGAATGACACGAAAACAATAACTATTAAAATTGTTTAAATAACTCTTTTTTGTTAGCGTTTCGGGGACGTTTCGTTAACACCGTATGTATGTACATTTTACACAACAAAGAAAACAGGGGTATCTTTTTGTTAAAGTCACAATAGCTACTTCTTTTTCGGCAAAAAATGTCCAAGGTATCAATCTACATAAATCAGAACCCTCTTACCTGAGAGCCTCTTATTACAAATATTATAATGTTGAAAAGTTGGGGTAGAACCTAGTGATTGGAAAACCGGAGCCCTTTTTTAACGAAGTGAAATTTGAGACCCCAATTTCGGCTTAGTTGACAATGAACTGAAATATGCTACGGTTGGGTTACTTCAGAAATAATTTAGTTTAATATTTCGTTCGTTAAGAACTCTGTTTGTCATGATTAGTTCGAAAAGTTTTCTGTATAAATTGTTTCAGTATTACTTTAGGTTTTGTGTAGGTATTTCTTTTTATGTTACTGCGATATTGGTTTTAGGGATTGCTCTTTTTTATTTTAATTTATTACTTTTAATAGTAACAAACTTTAAGGTTTGTGTGATTATAATTCATGGTCATTATAGCCTAAGTGCCTACACACTAAACTGTAAGAAAATATAATAATGTTTTTTTTTCTTTGAATTTGTATCGGCGATTAGTCGCAAGACTATAAGCTGATGAGTTCAGTTGTTATGGCAGTAAGAAAATAATGTATACTTATTTTAAAACTACGTTTAAAAACCGACTTTAACCTCCTCTGAAAACCTCATCAAAATCGGTTCAACCAATCGCGAGGTTATCGCGCACAAACGTATACATATATACTTTTTTTTAAAGGGGAAAAATCATCAAATGACTGCTCCCGCCTGGGTGAGGCAGGAGGGAGTGTCAGACTCTTATTGACTAAAATCCACCCCGTTCCTTCTCCTGCACGTTGAGACGGAGCCCCGGTAACCCGTTAGGTTCTCCGCGACATACATACATACATACAAGTTAAATTGAAGACCTACTTCTTGTTTTGAAGTTTGTTAAAAACTGCCTCAGGACTTTTCGTGACGGATCAGACCCATAGCGGACTCTAAACCATAGGAAAAATTTACACATGTTTTGTGAAGACCAACAGCCCTAATGTATCTTATCTCTTTGTCAACAGAATACCCTGGCTATCCTGGACAAACTGGACATTGACAGTGAGAAGCCTTCTGAGGAGGAGATCGCGAGGCTCTTCGGTTATGAAGAGGCATACCTATCAGGAGAGTTGGGCATCTGGCAGAGGGTCAAGCCAAAAGTATGGGCGCTGTTTGACGAGCCATCCAGTTCACCAGCTGCCAAGGTAAGGAATCGAAGTTGAAGTAATTCTTTATCCCACTAGCAATTTAGGAACGAGAATAGTTCAGATGTCTAGAGATAATTAGTTGTAATTTAAGTTTGATGCTTCAAAAGACGACTACTGAGAGGAATTATTAGTAGAAGCATAGTTTTTGGAAGCTGTATATTTACTGACTTAAGTATACGTTTGTATGTTAGTAGGTACTTATTGTTCATTTTATAGTGATGATAGTGAGTGGTAAGATTAGCTTACTTATTTAGCTTTAAGTAAAAATTTCGTGGTGCTTGGCGACTGGGTTTCTTCCAGTCGTGCAGTCTCTTTTTGTACTTTTAGGCTTAATCCGTTAAGACTCCTGCAGTAATTCGCCAAGTGGAAACTAACGTTTTTTTCTTCTCCTCTTATAATAACTTCTGATTCACTTCGTTGCGAGAACCAAGACAGTTGTTCAAGTCCCTGGGACGCATCGAACTTCAGTGTTCCGGTTTATTCACGATTACTCGGTATCTACTGTAGATGCTGACTTACAGGAGTTGCAGCGGTTTTAGGAGGTTGTGGCGGGCTTGTTCCAACAAAAAAAGTGACTATAGCAGCGCCCTTTCATAAACGAAATTCTTACTTGTGTTTAGGAAAAATGTTCTAAGTTTGCGTTGATAACGAAACATTTCAAAAATTCTTGTGTGTATAATTTATTTTTAAGGAAATTTCACATAACATCCTTTATACACGATACCTTATCGTTCCTTACAAAGCTTCAATTACCACATGAACAATTAAATACCGTAATAGGCTATTATCTCTTAAACTACCAGTAACATAAAACAGCGCCATCTAGTAATTAGTTCCGGTAACTAGTCTTGAAAATGCTTTAACCACAAATTGCTAGTTATAAAACCCGTAATACCCATTAGGGTTTAAATGAAACCCGCGCGTGGAATAAAATTGTCCAATTATAAGTCATTTAGGAATACCGAGGGATACAAAGCTTGCACAAATTGGACATTTTCGTTATTTCAATTGCTAGAATGTTTGACGAGAATGACATGGATAAGGAATGAAAGATGAATGTAGATCAACAAATGCTTCAAGCGTGTCTTTGCATTGTTTTCACATATGCGTATAGTATTGGAATATGTACCGATTTAATAAATGAAAGAAGATTCATGTGCTTAGAAATGATAATAAAAACAATGACTTAATCGGCTATTGTAATGCCCATACTTTTTGTACTATCCGGACATTTTGAAAGAATCAGGGTTATATCAAAACCCTTCCGAAAATTACTTTCGTATTACTACTGATCATTCCAACAAATCTACTAATAATTTTTCTCTTAAAGTATTTTTAGTAATCATAGTACATATTCATAGTCCTTAAAGTAATCATACAACAGAATATGCCTCTATAAAGCCTAAAATGTTCCCTTCTAAGGAGCACACTCAAATGTACCTTCACTTACTGACTTCCCTCTCAAATCCACTTAAAGGAAATAAAGGAAATCGGATGTGGTAGCGCCATGTTTTATGTATTTTCAAATACTTAAAGAAAGTGCTTCAATTGTATTAGGTTTTAGTTTAAAATGGTACATGGTGTTCTTGTTAAGTCATTTTTATAAAAGTAGGGAATGTAGAAGATAGTTTTTTTGCATGTGACCTGTGTC